TTCTTGCACAGAAAAATTGTTCCATAAATGGACAGTTCACGCTAATGATAAACGATCTGGAAGTTGAAATGATCCAGCTTTCCTCTGGCTTAGAATTAACAATCGTGGTTCTCACCGAAACGATTTTTCATCTTAACAAGCAGACGCCCCTCTCATTCTTATCCTTAGGTTATCAAAACTTTTGTTCTCGTTTTGTTCTGCAGCAGAACAGACTTTTGTTCTTGTTGTTGTTGTTGTTGTTGTAGCGGCTACAACAACCCCGCCCAGATCGGTTGGTATCTCAGTCGTTGTCGTCAAGTTCCACTAACGGCAACCCTAGGAAGCGTGCAGCTTCTGTGGGATCTGTCCACAGGGACAGGGCCGTTAGGGTAGTCGGGTTTTCCGGGCATGCGAAGAGATGGTTCGAGTCATGTGGGGTCTCTCCGCATGCCGGACATTCGTTCGGCACATCCTCATTCAGCCTACTCAAGTAGGAGTTTAACCTGCTGCAGTAGCCGGAGCGAAGTTGTGCAAGTGTGGTGCGCGTCTCCCGAGGCAGATGAAGCTCCGTCTCGTCAATGTCCGGGGGTGGTGTGCCTAGAACGGCATTCACAGGTCTAGAGTCTACATAACTCGAGACTGAGTCCCTGTGAATGCCGTTCAGGGCCTGTCTGTACGCTGTCGGGTCCAGAGGTTGCTTAATGAACCTCTGGACTTCGTCCGTCAGTTCATATAGATGCCTCCTGACGTGCCTAGGCGAGGGCTCCTCTGCAAGCAGCTGTCTGTTTGGGTGGACACTTCTGTGGCTCCCGATCAGGAACTGCTTGCAGAGCATTATGTTGTGCTCCCTAACTGGGAGCATTTGCGCCTCGCCGTGCAAGTGATGTTCTGGCGACATCAGGAGGCATCCCGTCGCTGTCCTAAGTGCCGTATTTTGTCCCGTCTGTAGCTTCGTCCACTGCGTCCTACTAGTCCCTGGCGACCACACTGGCGCTGCGTAGTTCAAGACCGGCCGGCCTATTGCCTTGTATGTTGCCAGCAACGTTTCTTTGTCTTTGCCCCAAGTACTGCCGGCTAGCGACTTGAGGACCTTGTTGCGGCTCTGTACTTTATTGACAATAGCGGTTGAGTGCGCAGAGAAGGAGAGCAGGCTGTCGAAGGTTACTCCGAGTATTTTGGGGTTATTCACCGTCGGAATTGGTGGTAGTCCCGAGCAGACCCTGAGGTGACTCCACCCCTCGCAGGCATTACACTTGACTGAGGTGGAGTTGTGGTGTAATCGTCTTCGGCATACACAGCAGGTGTATATTTCTGGCCCAGGGTTTGACTCGATGCCAGCCCTGAGTAGGAGAATGCGTAGTGAATGTTGCCCTATGGACGGACAACTTCTGAGATACTTCGCCGACCTAAACGGGGTTAGATCGCCGAAACAACAGCCCTTGGTCGGGTGAAACCCGAGTCATTCCGGTACGTAGAACCGGCTGTCGTGGGAAGAAGAACTTTTGTTCTTATTTCATCCTCCTTGAAAACACTCTCTATACTTTCGTTCTTATTTTGTTGGCATTGGAAACGTCCCCGGAAGTTTCGTTCTGAGTCTGTTCTTCTGAGGGACATTTCCGAGAGTTTTGTTTGCATTTTATTTTTACCGAAACGTTCCCGAACCTTTTATTCTCGTTGTGTTCTCGTTCAAACTGCTCTCAATACTTTTGTTCCCATTTGTCTCTTTTGTGAGAACGTTCTTGACATTACATTTCCTTCCCGTGAAGAACTAAACCAAAACTTGAATGCGTTCTCCGTCACTGATTTAGATAGCTCAGCTGGTAAATAGTTCCCTCCGGCGGTCTTTTTATTCTTGGGTCACACATGATCGCATAATGAAGAAGCGATCTCTACATATTTCAAACGTATTCTGGTCATCAAAACCTTCCTAAAGTCGCTCACTTTAGGGAAAAATTTTCGAGTGCTATTCCAGCGATGAAAGAGATCCCATCCTTGCCCACATAGGCATTGAAATCGCCTATCGCCTAGTTAGAGATCTGTGGTCGTGGCATATGATATGGCGTTTTTTTTTACCGAACCCTGAAATAGGGCGTTCTTGAAAAGTTTTCTGAGATAGGGCGTTTACGAACTGGTGGCCGAGATAGGTCGATTTCCACTCAGCCCTCGATATACTCGAGCAGCTGTGTCATTACGTTAACAATAAAAGTCATCAAATCATTTCCACATGCCATTTTTCAATGCCTGGTGGGAATTCGGCATAAATATGTTTCACATGGCGTTCAGAAACGAATCAAACCACAGCATCAGTCTGTTTCATTTCTAAACTATAGTCGATGAAAATATCGAATATACGTAACCACGGTTATATGTACATACATATGTCGAATTGGAACTTAGTTGCGCAAATAAGGCATTTCCATCCCTTTGGTTTGGAAATAAAGAGACTGATGGGTTGGCTTGATGTATTTCTGAACACAGCCAATTTTGTTTTGTAAATTTAAAGCTTTTGCCAAGTTTCGGCTGGGCATTGAATCGCAAAAAAATACAAAGTTGTCCAAAAAATAACGGTGTGATTACATTGAATATCCCTCTACACGTTGTGATCTATGGGGGTAAGTGAACTACTCTAACTTTTTAGTCATATTAGGGGACCTTGACTGGGTGCTACTAAATACGTTGATGTGTTCTGCAGTTTCCTGTTCCACGTGACTTAACCTACACTGTTCAGAGTAAGCAACTCCCAGTTTTGCCAAGTGTACACTACACAGTTTAATATCCAAACATCTTTCAAGCGAAAGTCCCAAAACTATAAAGAAAGAGCCTAGGAGATTTTAGAATACTAACCGATTCTCATTGAGTGTGATGCAGTTGCAGAAGATGTGAGAGAAACCTTGTCGCAATTTGGTCACAGCTTACGCAAATTCATCCCTATCCTCGAAAGCGCTGTTGAACTTTCTGAGGCATTTAGGTATATAAGAAGTATTGTGAAGGTAAAATTATCACCTTTAGAGTTTATAGTGCTCTTCGAATTTTTCTGTTTACTCTTTTCGCTATATCGCACACAACTACACAAAAATTTCAACCCAGCGTGCGGAATTCGACAATTGTTGAATTCTTTGACTTCCTGCCGGAAGAAATGGGTCGAAGTATTACGAGGTTGGCCCCAAAAGAATCCTTTTCCACGCACATCTCTCCAAGGGACGAATGGAAGAATGGTAGTCTCTGCAATAAGGTCCAATAAACATCTTCACGGACGCATCGCAGCTGGGCGGGAGAGTTGGAGGAGGTGCTTACTGCCAGGTTCTCTCAATTGATCTTATGCTCAGGCTGCCAGATCTCTGCAGCGTCTTTCAGGCCAAGGTGGCCGCTATAAAAGAGGCAGCCTATTCGCTAAACGCCAATGAATTGCCGACTAGAAAGGTAAATATCTACTCTGATACCCAGACGGCAATCAGGGCGCTGGGAGCGCTAATGGTATAATCGAAACTGGTCGGGAATGCCTGACCTCTCTCTTAACCGCCTCGGAATACTTCCAAATCAAGCTGATATGGGTCCCAGAGCACAGTGGCATTACTGGACAGAGGGAGAATATGAGTTCCGTTGGCAACCTGCGGCCTGCTCCTGGGCAGATGGGCTCACACTCGCGAAAACCCGGACATGCAAAGTTGATATGTCCTTCTGCGCGGTTGTTGACCGCCGGTGGTCAAGGGAAGCTCGTTAAGCTCCCCAGCTCTCGATTCTTACAGGTATACCGATCGGACATTATCCTTTATGCGGTGCGACTCAATATCGTCACGGATCCCTACTGCCGCAGCTGTCTGGAACACCAAGTGGAATAATCTCAGCACTTCTTACGCAGCTGCTCAACATTCGCTAGACTAAGGTTTAAGCCCCTCGGTGCGAATTTCATCAACACTCCCGAAAAGCTCTCCGGAGTGGAAATTAGCTGCCTGCGGAACTTTGTTGTGAGCACTCAGCGCTTCTCTTAGTTTAACAAACTTGCCGTTCGAAGAATTTGTGTAATGTGGTAGCACAATGGAAAATTAAATAATGTAGTGAGTCCCCCTCCTGGGGTCTGCCACAATAACCTAACCTAACCTGACCAAAAAATGCAAGTCAATTTTTTTACGTCGTTATATTCACTATAAAACTACTATTTTTTGCATTAATTGCGTAAAATATGTGCGATCCCAAAGCAGTTATATTTCCGAATCTGATTTTTAAGTTGTGCCTCTTTTTAGGAGAGTAGGCCATATGTTTGGGTGAACTTGTTTCTCCCATTTCCCAATTCCATGATCGGGATTTGAAATAGATGTATGTATGTAGATTAGTTAATTAACAAAGCGGAAGCTTATTTTCATTACATACAACAAATTTTTTCTTTATAATAGTTTTTAAAGTTAAGTTTAAGTTAAAAAAAAACTTATCCATTAAAACTTTAATAAAAAGTACAAATATATACATATGTACATGCACACATCCGCTTTATTATAAACTTGAAGTCGTTTTCGTATTTTTGTTGGTAGTCATTTTCGTCCATAAAATGCGAATTCAATTCTAAAATTATGTATTCGAATCACGTATGATTACGTTTTGCCAAAAAATTTGTGGGTAACAGTAGGCCTAGGTATATTTATGTGCATATGTAATTATATTTTTTGCAGTACCACTTAGCTATTGACAATGGTTGGCAAAATATTTTAGCTGCTTATTACTTAAAAACTCTACAGTGGCTTTAGCAAAGCAGACGCTTTTGGGGTTGTGCATAGTTTTCGTTTTCTTTTCAGCTAATTACTTTACCTTACCTTTTAATTATCTTTTATTCTAACACTCTATCTTTGTATGTATGTTTCTAGTCGTATGCACACAAAAGAATCAAAAACAACTGATTTTAGTTCGGCTAGTAGCACGCAAATTTTTTAATTTCAATGTATATCAAGCCACATTGCATATATAGAATTTAGCCGCACTTTTGGCTTTACTTGTTTTTTAAACTCAATTGTTTTTTCCTATGTTTACAGGGCATGCCGGAGGCATGGGCGCGTCTGCTGATGAACTCGAACATCAGCAAGCAAGAACAGAAAAATAATCCACAAGCTGTGCTGGATGTGCTCAAGTGGTTTGACAATACAACAAAGCAGCGGCCAAGTTCCAAGTACATGACAAATGCAATTACGACGCATTCAGGTAAGTAAGCATTACATATGCATGGCTGTGGTATATCTGCATTTTACTTTATTAACCATACAAATCTTAATTTTATAGGCTCCTCACTAAGTCGTGTGAGCAGCAGCAGTCCCAGCAGCACTCCAACCGATTCTGAGTTGCACGCCTCGAACAGTGGTGGCAATTTGATTGGCGTTAACCTAAGCAACCTAAGTCTGGGCGGTCCGAATGTCAATTCTAATGCAAATAATGTGGGATTGATTGGACAATTGGGTAACAGCATTGGTGGTGTACAATCCATACATGGCAATCACCATCAGCAGTCACATGGCGGCAGCGCTGGCGGCGCCTTAAGTCAATCACATTCGTATAATTTTGGTGGCAATACTGCCTCCTCATCTTCGCAACATTCGTCCGCCAATGAAGATGACATACTCGGTGCGCCACAACCGGCGCCACCACCGATTGCGTCACGACCGGAACGTACGAAATCAATCTATACGCGCCCAATTGAGGGGGTTGGTGGAGGCGTGAGTGGAGTATTGGAGAGTATCGACCATTTGCGTGCAGCGGCTGCGGCCACTCCTACACCTTTGCACCAGCATCAGCACCAGCAACATCAACAAATTCAACAACAACAACATCAGCACCAACACCAACCCCACCACCAGAATAATATGGCGCAACCGCAACAGCAACAATACCGCACGCCGACTAACGCAATTACGGCAACCACAGCCGCTAGCGTTGCAAGCGCTGCCGCCACTGCACCAGCAGCAACCACAGCTGTAACAACAACGTTGGATAAGAACAAAAATAACGAAAGTAATTACAGCATTGCATTAGTGTTTTGGTTTTTTGTTGTTTACTGATTCGAATTTTTGTTGTAAATAATTTAGTTAGTAGATGAAATTGCATTTTGCGAGCTACACGCGTTCCAACAAAACACGCAGCGCGATATTTTTTCGTACGTTGGCGGATATGAAATACCACAGCCGCAGTCAAAATTTAATTTTCCACCAATTAAAAAAATTTAATGTAGAACAAACATTTGTTGTGATTGGCAGATAAAAATATACGCGCATTTTTGTTGGCACGTGTGTAATTAGCATATCCAGCACACACATCCTCGTTTTCTCATCCACTGCTTAACAACACTACCATCAATCACCAACACCAATTGTATAAATACATACATAATATGTATAAACGTATGTAAGTACATAGATAGAACTGGGATAAATATGATCCAACCCTAACCAGCTACAACAAAGATATTTGCAAAGCCAAGAGACATATTTTAGAGAGTTCTATGAAGGGCTGTAGGGGTGCGTAGGCAACCAGGTCTTAGCAAATATTTAAAAAAGCCAAATGTCAATAAAACTTCTAACAGGAAAAGGCTCCAGCGCTTCTGAATAACCGCTTCAGAGGAGCAGTGGCTCCGTTAGCAGAAAACAACGACGATAACAACAGAGTGGAGGCTGCACGGCGCACGAAAGGATCGCTATCAGGCATCAGCAGCGGGCGTCACAAAATAACGATTGTCAGCATAAGCAGAGAGATTTCAAGAAGACTAAAGGACGTTTTAACCAATATTACCAACTGCTAGTCCAAATGAGGTAGCATGTTCAGGAAACATAAGATTCTAGAAAAAAAACCCTTTCATCCATACACCTAAAGATATGGAAGTGTAAACACTCTAGGCAAACACAATACAATAGAATTTATGAATGTGGGCGCCATGCTTTTAAGACATACAGGGCAAGGAGAAGATTAAGAGAGTGACTACATACTAGCGTAGAAGAGTTAAGAACAAAGGAGCGACAACTTAGAAGATCGCATTGTGAGAACTCGCTTGGACCACGACAGGTCAAAAAAAAAAATATAGGAAATAAGAATTCCGAGAGATTTAGGAAACTAGTCACTCATCCAAAGATAAGCTCAAGGCATTGAGGTTGCGATCTCATATGAATATGCTAGAAACTAGCTCAGGCAACTAACATAGTATTGTGGTGAGGTTTTGTGACTCAAATAACTAGAGATTGCAGTGCACATCCTCCATTATATCTATCTATGTATGTACATAATAAAAACATTAGTTTGGTAGATAATTGCTATTGTATTACTAAATTCAATCATCATTCGCATATTTTTGCGGGTCATTGTAGATTTTTTATACCTTTAAAGGCTTTTTATTTTTTTCATCATTTTCTATCTATCCTTTACCTACCAATTATCAAATCAAANATGTATTACTAAATTTAATCATCATTCGCATATTTTTACGGGTCATTGTAGATTTTTTATACCTTTAAAGGCTTTTTATTTTTTCATCATTTTCTATCTATCCTTTACCTACCAATTATCAAATCAAAAGAAATTAACGAACTATTAACTGACTTGAATGTTGCGTATCGTCTGCTTCTGTTTCGTTCGTCGTTTTGTCTGTTTTGTTTGTGTTTTCTCGTTTTCTGTTTCGTCTGCAGCAGCAGCAGCAAAGTCAGCAACAGCAACGTCCGAATGCGTTGTGACTGCGCCGCCTCTGCCACAGCAATATGTTGAGCCTGTCGCTACGCATGCATCGACTTCCATTTGTAATCTAACCACAACGTTGACTACGTCGACGACCATTGCCAGTAATCTCAGTAGTAATACGAGTATTATTGGTGTCATTGGTTCTTGTTCTACTTCTACCATTACTACTACTACTAACATTGCAACAGTTGACACAACTACAAGAAGTACTAACTCCACTGCTAGCACTCATTTGCAATTTATCGATTGTAATGCAACGACGACTAATCACGATTCTTCTGCTTCCTCCTTTTCATCGTTTCCATCATTTAACGACGATGTGTCGCTGCTGCCACCCATCTATTGTCCCTCGGTGACATCGTCGATATGCGAATCTGTGGCTATGCCAACGCCACCACCTCCACTACCAACGCCCACAACTGTCACAACAACAACAATCACACCGGCTACACCCATAACTGGTGATATTGCTGCTGCTGCCGCTGCCGTTGGCGTTAACGTGAACCCATTCGCCGCGGCGGTTGGCGACGCATCAACTGCAGATATTTATTCAACCGATCCAACAACCAAACGCTTAACCGGCTCACCAGCAGCAGCAGTGGCGCAACAGCAACAGGGCACCACCACTCCAGCACAATTGGTGACACCATCAGCGGTGGCACCGAGCACTGCGGCGACTCCACAGCCACGTTCTGGTACCGCCAAGAAGAAGAAAATGTCCGATGAGGAAATACTGGAAAAGCTGCGTACCATCGTTTCGGTTGGCGATCCAAATCGCAAGTACACGAAGATGGAAAAGATCGGACAGGGTGCCTCGGGCACCGTGTACACGGCAATTGAGTCCTCTACCGGCATGGAGGTAGCCATTAAACAGATGAACTTATCGCAGCAGCCGAAAAAGGAGCTGATCATCAACGAAATTCTGGTGATGCGAGAGAATAAGCATCCAAATGTAGTGAATTATTTGGACAGCTATCTGGTATCTGAGGAGCTATGGGTGGTGATGGAGTACCTGCCTGGGGGCTCGTTAACCGATGTTGTCACGGAAACGTGCATGGATGAGGGTCAAATTGCGGCGGTATGTCGCGAAGTGCTGCAAGCATTGGAGTTCCTTCACTCCAATCAGGTGATACATCGTGACATCAAAAGTGATAACATATTGCTCGGACTGGATGGCTCAGTGAAGCTGACCGATTTCGGTTTCTGTGCGCAAATCTCGCCGGAACAGTCGAAACGCACAACCATGGTAGGAACACCATACTGGATGGCTCCCGAGGTGGTAACGCGCAAACAGTATGGACCAAAGGTGAGTTAAAAACAACAAATACTCGCTTCTAACTACTGGAATATTGCATACATTTAGGCGCGCAATGCTCGCAATTTTTTACTTTTTCGCTGATGTGGTTTTAGAAACAGTTTTTAGTGCAAATCTTCCTAAAATTGTTCTTGTAGCATACAAATTTTGCAAAATTGCAAGCTGAAAACAGTAAAATAGGCACTAAAAACATTTCGTGAAAAAACATTAGTTTTAAATTGCAAATCAATTCAATTTCAAAACTAACTTCTCTTACATATGTTCTGACTAGGTTGACTTGTGGTCTCTTGGTATTATGGCAATCGAAATGGTTGAGGGTGAGCCACCCTATCTGAACGAGAATCCATTAAAAGCCTTGTACCTCATTGCCACGAACGGCAAGCCGGAAATAAAGGAGAAGGAAAAATTATCGACAGTATTTCAAGATTTTCTAGATCAGTGTTTGGAGGTTGATGTCGAGAGACGAGCAAGTGCGCACGATTTGCTGAAGGTATGTTGCTTGCCACAACTAACCCTCTTTCATTTATTAAAATGAGTCTTTGTTATTTTTTTCTTACAGCATTCTTTCCTGAAATTAGCACGTCCATTGGCTAGTTTAACGCCTCTGATTATGGCGGCCAAAGAAGCCGCTAAGGGAAACTGATTAAAGAAGAATTAATTTAATTTACGCGAAAGTGATGAAATTAGAACTTAAAACACTTTAATGAAAAAAAACAAAAACAAAAGAAATTATATACACACATATACAGATAAACAACTATGATCGACAGAAAAATTTAGTACATAATTCAAATACTAGGTAACACAAACAGACCAGTTACACGTACACACTTGCTTAGCTGCAGGTTATACATACGTACATATTAAATTTACATATACATACATATATATGTATATAAATTAATTATATATTTAAAAAGTTCTCTTAAGCGTAAAGTGAGCGAAGGAAATTCACTAAAGTATACTACGTTAATATAAAGTGAGCGTTAATCGCAAAGAGAAACGAAATACAAAAGGCAAAGCAAAAGCGAAGGCTAAATGCGTTCTGTTTAAACAATGAAAAGGATTATAAATTATATTATACGAAAACGTTATTTTTTTGTCATTTGATGTAATTGATATCGCTTAAGTAATTGTATTAGAAACTGATATTGCGGAAAGTGTATAAGCATTTCAATTTGCGCGTTTTTCTGGCAAAGCGCCAGTGTTGAACATTTTTTAGAATTCATTTCCTTTTCTAGTTTCATATAAAAATAATGTGAACATTTTGTTGAAGGCGTGAAAAACATTTTAATTTAGTATAACTGCTAACGCTCACATACATTTCATGTTATTTGAATTGAAGTTTCTGTAATAAGATTTGCGTAAATTTACTGAAAGAAGTTATTTTTTGTAAGCTTGACATTTTATGTCTTAAATACTTTTGCGTGGCGTTGTAAATGCCTTTCTAAGTAGGTTTTTTTATATTTCATTTACCTTTTTTATTTAATTAATTATTGTTACATTAGTACGTTAACACGAGAACAAATACATACATACAAGCAACATACATTTAACAGAGAAACTGAGACAATTTTTGTAAGACTATGTCATTCTAACTGCATAAAACTTAATTATAATTAGCATTTTATACATAATTATAAATTATTAATTAACGAAAGTTAAGCATAGAATGAAAAACACAAGTAACACCTTATAACGCTCTACTAACACTTATTTATACGATTATAATATAAATTTGTAATTATCGAAAACTTCAAATATTTTGTTTATTTTGTGTTTTTTTTTAATTCTAATAGAAATAGTTTCCATGTTGCATGTCATTGAAAACGACGAGCTACAGGCTACAGCTTCCAATTTGTTATCATTATCTAAACGCTTTGTCGATGGCGACATGAATTTTTTGAACGTGGCAGCGACATCATGAATTTGTATGAGTTTGACAGAAAAGAAGAGGAAGGACCTTATTTGTCGCTGAAAAAACCACAACCACAGTCGTCGCGTAGCCCTGTCGTCGCCAAAATAATTATCATTTAGTGTTTTGCCGGCTCGAGGTCAATTTTAAAAATTCTTTTATGAAAACACAAGTTTTTTGGTGTTTATTTCCGATATATTTCGATTACACTTCGGTACCAAACTCCACGTCAAACAGTGCGGACGTGCAAATTAATTTGCCCTGAGGACGGTTACCTTAATATTTGTACGTAAAGGGCACTGCAGAGGCAACATTTTTCGGTAGAAAAGGAAATGCTATTCAAGTTTTTTAATATCTTGACTAAATGGCCGCACATCTAAACTCTATTTTGGGCTCTAATTTAGACAATTTCAGACAAGCCGCGCTGAGATGTAATAGCTAGTAGTACGAACTACCATTTCACAGGGCACAGAAAAGAAAATTTTTTTTTTCTAAATGCCCCTGCGGAGGCACTGGCAAACCTTCGCGTGTATTTCTGCGTAAAACTTTTGATCCCTCCCCTGCAAATTTAATGAATTTTAACGAGTTTTGCACAAACCATGCAAAAATCGCGACTACTCCATGCATGCATGTAGAGAGTACTCCCTAAGGGCCATGGAGTATTCCAAAATTAACCACAATTCATATAATACATATAGTCTAATTAACAATACGACTTCCTAGGGCAGGACCATATACTCCATCTCTGCATTACATCAGCGTACCACAAAACTACTCCAACATATTAACAATGGCATTGTTGTTATATTTTTTTTGTTTGTACACGGTTTTGTTCTTCACTTCTCAGATGCTTTTTCGAAATTAATAAAAACCAAAAACAAAAATTAAAAATTACATGTTGCCTCCGACGGCATTCAAACCCAAATATGCTGGGAGCTAACAAATAACAGCGAGCATCTCTACACGTTCAGCTACAGCCAGACATGCAAATGTGCTTTCAAATGATCAAATTCAATCACATTTCGTTAAAACCACGAACAGTGATCGTGTAACAATAAGCTGATCCAGATACACGAGTTGGTCCGCTACAGCATGACAGACGAACACTTTTTGCATTCCCACGACAGCCGGTTCTACGTACCGGAATGACTCGGGTTTCACCCGACCAAGGGCTGTTGTTTCGGCGATCTAACCCCGTTTAGGTCGGCGAAGTATCTCAGAAGTTGTCCGTCCATAGGGCAACATTCACTACNTGTAAGTACTCCAATATATCACAAATAGACTACATGGTCCAACGACTTTGGCGGGGAAGTTTAGAAGTTTTATTCTTTTTTTTTTTTTTTTTTTTAGGATGAACTATATTTTTTATTTAATATTAGCGGAAAAAAATTAAATTAAATTGTTTACCTAATTGTGAGAAATTATCTGTGCCAATTATTAAAAAATCCTTTTCGGTAAAGCCAATTGCTGTGTTTCCTTAGGCAATGATCGGGATCCGGATAAAAAATTTGCACGCAAATGCAACAACAACGATATGATCCGAATAGAGATCTGGTTCGATTTATGATCTGCTGTGTTTTCTTCACGGTTTGGTAGCACTGGCAAACGAATTTATACACAAACAAATATTCTGCCATTTGTTTATCTTAACCTGATTCACACAAATTGCCTTCGTGTTGAATATTTATTCATTTTAATACTTTTGTCTTCCTCGTGCTAGTAGTATAAAATTAGTGCTGCCAACTGAGCTGGATATTTAACCCAAGGAAACACAACTAATGTCTACAAAAATAAGTACTCAAATTTCCGCTGGTCCTCATTTGTTATATGTTGTTTTTGAAGCTAGAATAAGTCCATTTGGAGCCAAAAAAAATCGTTATTTAAATAAATATTGCATAGTAAAATTTAATGCATTTAGAGCGTTAAACACATAATCCTCATTGATTAACGTGAACGTAGACGCAAACCCTTTAATATCACGGCATATGAAAAAATTTACTTATACCACTAAAAACGACTCATTTGATTCCTAAAATCCGTTAAAAAAAAATAAAATTACATAATCAGCCTCATTGCGACAGTCGTGTCGGGTCGAATGCAAGTCGTTTTACGAGAATCGAATCGTATCGAAAATTTCATGTTATTGCCTAAAATTTCCACTCGACTAATGTATAAAAACGGAAAAACTTGGCAGCACTGCATAGTTTTCGACGATTTTCGTCGATTACTTATTTCAGCGCGACAGTATGCAATGTCATTATTGTCGAGTCGTATAATTCAGCATAATTTACGACTTAAGCAATGAGGCTGAATATATAGAAAGTGCATCAAGTACTAAAATAACGTTTATTTTTTAATAAAAAAAAAAAGAAAAATGGGAGAGTTTAGGGACCATAAGAAATTTATCAGTTAGTTAGTTTACAGATCGAATTGCTGATGTCTTTCAAACAGTAACTAGTTTTGAATTTGAATCAATAGTACTTAAAAATTTTAGACATCCATACTTACTTCGATCTCAGTAAGATTCATCGAACAAATACGGGTTTAAAGGTACATATCTTGACTCTAGCGATACCTATCGGACCAATTTTACGAAAAAGTACATTGTTAATATACAGTGACTTAAAAAAATTACCACGTGTTGATTTTTTTTTAATTCGTATCTTTTTCGAGCTAAATTTTGTTTGTTACTTTTCTATAAAAATACCGCCCGAGCTTTGACCAAAACCATATAAATCACAGTTTCAAACTGTATACAAAATTTAGGAAAACTCAACCAAAGTTCATCAAAATTTCAACTTTTTAATTTGAATCTTTAGACTGCATAGATATACAAAGCAGTTTATAGCCCATACAATTTTAGTCTGGTCTGAAGCTTGAATGGTATTTTTATAGAAAAATAACAAAAAAATAAAAATTTCCTCGAAAAACATTACGAATATATATAGATATCGTTCTGCCAGGTAGTTAATACCAGAATTTCGATCTGCCAATTTAATTTTAGACTTGAAATCGTTTAAAGAATAGCATATGAAAATTTCAGACTTAACTAAATATTAAAAATTTCATTGCTCTCATCACACGTTTGGGGCGTTCTGCCACTCTTTTACTACCGTCTGATCGTTCTGCCAATGTAACCTGATAATTGTGGACTATCAGAGCCTCGATGGGTAAAATTGCAGCCTTAACTAAATCATATTTTTGGTCGATGATTTTTACAAGTTAAGGGCGTTCTGCCTCCCAGTGCTACCCTCCCCAGGGTCTAATATCACGGATGACAACTCAACATACCCCCCGTAACGAGCTGGCAAAAAATTATCGCGAAAAAATTCACTGGCTCTTAGACTATAAGAAATTCATCAATATTTATTCAAAATTGATATACATATACAATCGTTCTTTAGTAAAGAAGTGATTTTTCAGGAATTTTTAGGAAAATGGGGTTGGCACCGCCCACTTTTATGATACATATATGCGTATGTCAAATTCTACTTTATCGATCTCAACCAAATTTGGTATACATATTGCGCTTAAGCTTCTTAAGCGCCACATTGAACATTTTTGAAATCGGACAAAAACCACGGGTTCCACCAACGTATCGGTAGTTTCAAAAAACACAAAGCTAGCTATATTTTAGGGGAATTAGGTGGTTTTGTCGGATTTCAAAAATATTCAGGACGTTACTTAAGGAGGCTATGTGTATACCAAATTAGGTCGAGATCGGTCAAGTAGTTTTTGAGATACGCATATATCATATAAGTGGGCGGTGCCACCCCCATTTTCCTAAAAATTCCTGAAAACCCCCTTCTTTGCTAAAGAACGATTGTATATGTATATCAATTTTAAATAAATATTGATGAATTTCTTAGCCACACTGCTCAAAAAATCTGAAAGTCCGATACATAAACAATTGTGGGATTCACAACGGTGTCGTATTGTTGTATGTCGTATACTTTAAAAGCTTAAATAAAAGTTTAGAGAACTTGAAACCACAACCAGCTATTTCTTAAAACTGCGAAAAGTTGTAATATGACTTTGATGGTTTTGCAAACCCCCTTAATATATTTTTTAGGCATTTAAAGTTTACGACATACAACAATACGATACTTACGACACCGTTGTGAATACCCTAAATATAAATTCAAGGCCGTATTTAAGAAAAGTCGCTTAAATTCGAAAATTTTTAAGCGATTGCAATAAATGAGGTATCAGTTCATTTGACAATAGATTTAATTTAAGACAGTACTACATATTTTGAAATTATGGAAATTAGTAATGGTCAAAATTTAAAAAATTAAGAGAAATATGGGTTTTTTTATTTTACCCCATAAAAAATCCCGACAAGCCAAGTCCGAAAATAGATTATTAAATAACATTTTAATGGCCTATATATCCTCTTCTCAGATGGCATTCGATCTTTGAAATCGAGTCAAAAATAGTCATTCTAAAACTCACAAATCTACAAAACTGTATTTTTTAACCTAAATCTCTCTCTAAATGACCTTTAAAATACCTATACAAATAGGCAATAATATTTCTCATAAAAACGTATGCACATAAATAAGTTTTTTTGTACCTGCGTTAGATATATAAAAAAAATCCACACGTGGTGA